TTGTCTGAAACTGAATCTAATTGAGTTTATGTGTACACTCACATGTATTTAGCATCATTCTCACTCCTATGAATAGGTCACATTTCCACGAGATTGTGTGTACTTGCTTAAAAATGAAGTTGATATTTTGCCATTGTTCTATGTCTATCTGTTACACTATATCCAACTGGTCCAGTTTATTATGAACGACAAGTTACCATGTCACCGGTTAATGATGTCAGTTTGGATGACTTTCTGGTATTAGACTGTGTAATTGTATTGTTCAGTGGAAAAATGACTCAAGCATGTGCTAATTACAAGTTCCATCTTTTAGTCAACTACTGTGCACTCATCATTAAAGCAGCTGTTGTCGATGCCCGTTTCATCAGCGGTACAATAACACGCTCTCTCTATGCTTGATTCCAGTCAACACCCTTCATCTTCATTATCATCTATATCATCATCCAATCGCAAATACGAAACCATCAACAGTTCCACTCCGGAACACCTACCCCATTCGTTGTAGTCATGCGTTCTCCACAGTAATCATGTTTATAATCACCAACATAATCATCAGACAATCTGACTGCAATGAGTCCACACCGAAATTTATTCACAATCGGAACTTCCCAACTCGATCAGTTCCTACTCAATCTGTCTGTTCAAAGATGACATGTCCAAACATAATCTCATCCTAATCTAATAATCATAATGACGATAATACTAATGACAATATGAGCAGTGATAATAGTGGTGATGAGACACCCCTGCATAGTTCATAGTTCCAGAAAGAATTCAGGAAGTTCCAGGTGAAACCTATGCTGAGTGAGAGAAGAACATGTCGAGTTTAATGTAGTTAGTCGACGAAGTGGATCACTGAATTTTAGGATAAAGGTTTCTATCTAGTATCATTCATGTATGTAGGATATCAGTTAATCCCAAATCACTATAGTATGAAGAAACATCTCGTCAAAATTCATGTTATAACTGGTAAGCGGAAGAAGGCTAGTTTTTATTTCACAAAGCAAATCATTTGGATTTTTCTGTATTGAACTTAAATCGAATGTACTGTTGGATATCTGCATCTATGAATCGAATTCTCTTGATGACTAGTTAGTTAAAACATAACTTCAACATAAACGCAAACTGTGAGCAATTCATTTGTCCCATGTAAACCCTCTCATTAGACTGAACAGAAGTAAGCTTCGACGTTTAATATAGACACATCTATTGGACTATTTGACTGGTCTTCCCTGTCTCCAACATTGTCCGGACGTTCCATGTACCTGTAAAGAGTGTTTCTCTGATTTTTAGAAAGTCCATCGGCCTCGTGACTTCCGAAAAATTTCGGCTTTCATCATAAGACGTCAAAATCATTCCTTCAACTCCCAGGTCAGAGTTCAAATTGTTTGAATTACTTTTCCTGGTTAGCGTTCTTCTTTAGCGAATTAGTTTTTCTATGGGATGGAGTCGCTAACCCCATGCCCAACCCTCCTCTTTTACCCGGTCTTGGGAACGGCAGTAACTCTAGAAGAGATGCAGTCGGAATTGCCTAGGACAGAGTTGGATGGAGAATGCTGATGGGCGGCCTATACTCCTCCACGAGGGGTAACAGGCGTAAGTAAGTAAGTAAGTAAGTTAACGTCTATTGGGCCCGAACAGCACAATTTTTATAATTCGTTAACATATAACAATGGTGATTGATCATTTGATAGATATTTGGTTCAGTTAAGAAATTGCTTAAAATGTACCTACACTTATCTAGCACAGAATATTAATAGTGATCATGTAATGGAATGTTTGTTTACTTCCAACACTCTCTCAATCACATACGTATATACAAGTAAGATATACTCATATCAGCTAATTCACAAATCGTACTAACGTGTTGCGACGCCAACTCATTAATAATCAGTAATCTGAAATGGTACTCGTCTACAACTGATGTAGTATTTTCAACTACAAGAAGTACTGTTCTTGAATGATGCCCAGTTTATTAATTACAGTCTCCCACGATCACAGCTACTTCTGGCTAAATTTCGTACAACTGTTATTTTCTATTGATGGTATGATTTAGTCTGTTTGGCTTGTATACAAACCCAATATGTTTGAAATACAGGATTCATATCATGGAGACTGTGATTGGTGTTCTTGACCCTAACAGGCAGGACTGGGCAAGGATAAGGACCGGTAGAGATTCGAGACTGCACGTAAGATTGGATTAAGTATAAAGATGTATGGTGTTGTCTTTTTGTTAGACTTTCCGAAAGGATCCATTACTGGACAGCTAAAAGTGTTCCTGCATGGAACTAATTACTGGTGACAATCCTAAATCTTGTCGGTGACTGGGTGTGAAACAGAAAGCAGTGCTATAAGCAGTGATGGATGGCGGCTAGCATTGGATTACAAAACGCGCGTTTCGTCCCATTCGGGACTTCTTAGCTGGACGTACCTGCATCCTAGAGTTGATGTTCACTCTGGGACTCGAACCCAGTACTGTTCTCTTCAAACGCCATCGTGAACGGAAAGATTCAACCAAACAATAGAAAGCAGCGTTGGTAATGAATGATTTTTGTGCAATATCACAAAGTGAATATAGTCACATATGTAGTGCACTGTATCCTTACTTAACAGTTCGAAAATAACGCGACCATTTGCCTACATTGAGATCATATGATTGTTCTTTGTAGTTCTTTACATAAAACCATTACTATAAAAGAATAGATCGATTCAACTTAGACATTAACACCGTTGAATGTCGGGTCAGTGCTCGGGATGTTTAGCGTTCGCGGAATCGTGAATGTGCACTACCGAAGAGTTGCATACTAGGGCGACATGGCTGTTCAATGCTCCCACGTTTTCAATGGTGGTCTAGCTTAAATGGACTCGTGAATTCAACTTTGAAAAGATAGAGGAGTAAACTACAAAGTTGGTTGACTTGTATTTCAACTAGAAGAGTAGGCGAAACGTTTGTTATGGAACTACACGTGACTCTGCATGTTTGTTATTATCACTAACATTCCAACATCAAATCTTAGTGAATGTGAGTGACGATGAGTTACGCAGTCAGAAGACCATCTTTCAACTTGATCTATAGTGGTTACTCGGTGACTAAAGAACTAAGCAAAATTCATGTTCTGTCCGAACGAACAATAAATGGATGGTAGCTTGTAGGAGTTATTCATAGACTATTAACATATGACTAACCTTATTTGATAATTACTATGTAGCGGGAGTAACTATGACTCTCCCAAGGTAGCCAAATGCCTCGTCATCTAATTGTTTGTGATTTTGGCCTTTTGAGAGTTGTTATTGTGTGAGTAAACGATGTCCTTAGCGGTCATAATAGCACTACTAAGATTCTGAATGAACGACTTTAGGTCTGTTTGTAAACATCTCAACTCGTGCTTCATGATATAATTAATGCCAGATATGTCGTGGCCTCACAAGGTACGTCCTGTGAACCATTGTCGGCAACTACTACTATATGTGTACTATGGAGTGTATGGGCTTTTTAGACTTGCGTGCTTTAAATGTATGCATGTATAGTATACCTGTGGCGAACGTGATTCTGTGCTCTGTGATGAAAACTTCTGAAACCTATGGAGACCTGCTCGGGTGATCTTGACGTGTTTCCGGGGAGTTGTGTTTGCTATGGCTACTGTCGAGTACGGTCGCCGAGGCTCTAGTACATTATATGATTTCCGGTTGAGCTGTTGTGAGTTGGATGAACTGCCTGGTATAGCAATATGTACAATGTACTCGTCCACATCTGACTTCTACCCATTTTACATCAACCCGTCCGCACTAAGAAAAGTGGAGAGGCTTAGACAATGTTAACATTATCCCATCGACCTGGACATTTGAAGTCATCCTCATAGTAACACGTGCATTATGGTGGTACTTACCATATCTAGAACGATCCACTAGATTAATGTGGGTCTTTGAGTGGCTCAGTCGGTATTGTAAGGATCTATCTATTTACTTCTGAACAAGTAAGTGGCTTACATTCATTCATGAAACTTCAGAAATATAATTTCCTGCTCATTAGGATATAACAAGAATGTATTTGTCATTAACTTTCTATCCAATGCTCAATTTATTTAAAACTATGATGTTCAACCTTGGTATTGATACCTATCATATATTCTAGATTTCTCTCCCTAAACAATAACATACCTTTCAGTGTGGATTTCGTTGATTTCTTAACACGGTGTTATTTTTAATTGACAAATTCAACCAAACCATAGAGTTTTTCATGTCCAACGTTTTACTGTCAGTTTAACTCCTTTACTATTTTATTCGATTCCCAGTTTTTCTTCTTTACAGAATTCGAGTATTATAATGTGTATTACTAACTTCAATAGGATGATGGTTGGAAGTGGTCAACAGGAAACCCTGGACCAGCGTTTCGTGCCACTTGGCACTCATCAGCAAGGTGTACCTGTTATCTTGAAGGAAATGGTTCTCCATGATGAATTCGTTCCCGAGTCACCTAGCTTCACAATCAGAGACGTGACCACAGAGCTATTTTAGTCACGACCGACCTCTTGTAGTACTGAGATGCAATCACAATTCGATCAGCACTAAGACGGACTTGACACGCATGACATTGATCACCACGCAGTGTTTAATCAATTGTGACTAACTTCAATATCCAAGAAATATACAAACATTAAAAATGTTTTATTATACAACATTCTGTTAATATATAAATGTGTTAATCTTTTGTAAGATATAGGACTGAATACCTATTCACTATGAAACTAGACTAGTTCACTCAACAATATGTTCACCAATATCATTGTCATTCCGTCTAATCAATCGAATAATTCCATAACTGATAAGAGTGAATATAGTTACCAGTCCCCAACTTATAAGATATACAAGATAACGATAAACAGTAAGAATTTTGTCTAATTTAGGATATGGACTGAATTGAAAAGCAACAATTGAAACTTCCATACTATAAAGAAATGAAAATAAACATTTGACATTCATCAATGAAACGTGATAATTAGATGCAAATCAGTTCAATTAACCATGATGATGATGATGATGATGATTTGGATGATGATGATGATGATGATGATGATGTGGATAATGATGATGATGATGATTTGGATGATTATGATTATTTGGATGATGATGATGTTGATGATAATTTGGATGATGATTTGAATAATGATGATGATGAATTGGATGATGAAGATGATTTGGATAATGATGACTGTAAAGTGAGATCGATAAGCGAACATACCAATGATGAGTGAAACGCGCACCACCACACTAAATTCTTTGACCTTGTATTACTATGTCTTTGTTTTATCCACCAATCACAATTTATGTTCATTCTAAAACAATCTTCGTTTTGTTGACTCATTTTTCCTATTCTCTAGTTACTGTTCGGTATGTCATTTATGTCTCTCCTTTTCCATATGTAATAGACTGTATTTATTTGAGTATTAACGTTGTTAATTTACGTTTTTAGAAACAGATAAAGTTTATTAAGCCAAATAGCTTACTTGTTTTGACTTTGGCGAAACCAAGATTATGTATTCAACAGTTTAGAGAATAGCTTAAAGTTACCCCTGTAGGAAATTGCTTCCTACAAAGTTTCGAACAGTAAACCTCGACACACAAAAATGACTTCTAATAAATACTACGATTCCGATGAGATTCCAGAGTTATCACCACATGATCCGGGATTTTGTGATGAGGACCAACTTGAAAAGGACAAACCCAAAACTAATAGCATGATACAATTAGAGTTAGCTAGATTACGTATAACTCAGTTGGAAAGGGAAATTGAGCTAGAAAAGTTACGCCGCCAGAAAAGTGAGGGTTTCGGTCGATTGTTAAGCAATAGCGAGGATGTAATATTAAAAATCTGTATTTACCAAAAAGGGAAATCTTAAGATTCGACGGTATACCGACAAATTACTGGAATTTTATTAGAAATTTCGAAGAATGTATCGGAAATGAGAAAATTGGATTTAGAGCTAAACTAAATTACTTGATTCAATATTGTGACGGCGAAGCCAAAGCCGCCATTCTTCATTGTGCTATACTAGAACCAGAGATAGGCTATCATCAAGCTCTAAAACTTTTAGAAGAAACCTTTGGTCAGAAACACGTGATAGCACGCACGTTCATCGACAACTTGTTAAATTTTCCCACTATAAGAAGAAACCAAACAGATGGTTTAAGAAAATTGTCCAGGGAAATGCAAGCATGCTGTTTGACTATCGAACAAATGAATTACGTTTCTGACCTGAACTCTACCAGAACTATTGAAACTATGGTTTTGAAATTGCCGACGCATGTTCAACAAAAGTGGCTAAAGACGGCTTATAAGATTATCAGAGGAGGTCGTGAGCCTCTGTTCGCCGACCTTACAGCCTTTGTAAAAGAACAAGCCGATATGGCTAATACTCGATATGGGTTACTCGTCAACCGTGGTAGTAATAGTGACAATAGGGATATCGGGGTTCTAAAGGGGAGATGTAATGCAGATTACAATGCAGCAAGGATATCTTATATGAGTAGCAATGATGACAATGTCCACTTACGTAGTTCGTCCTGTTTAGAGTGCTCAGGTGATCATTCCTTAGATCAATGTCAGAAGTTTAAAGACAAAAGTGTTATAGAAAGGAAAGAATTCGTTCTTAGACACAAGTTATGTAATGTTTGTCTGAAGGCTAACCATATAGCGAAAAACTGTCGATCACCGAGGTCATGCGATGTTAAAGTATGCGGTTGGAGACACCATACCCTGTTACACAGGAAGCAGATAGAACAGAGAGACGGCAGTAGTGATGCTTGCATTAATACCCAGTTCTGCACGGACGTATATGTTAAGCATACACAGAGTCCAGTAGCATTTGCAGTGGTGCCTGTATGGATAAAGAACGGTGAGAAGATCATTCAGACTTGCGCCTTTCTAGATAGCGGATCCGATACTTCCCTCATTGTTGATAATTTGGCTGACGAGTTAGGTCTCGAGGGAAAACCAAAAATGGTGTCTTTAAAGACTCTTAGCAATGAATCGTCGTTAATATCCAAAGAGGTCGATGTAGAATTGCACTCCATAGATTTTTCGTCGTCCGTTAAAGTGCAAAAGGTGTTGACAGTCAAAAAACTACCAGCGGTTCACAGGACTGTGCCAACGGCGCGTCAAATGGCATCTTGGTCTCATTTAGAGGACATAAGGTTCCCGAGAGTAGAAGACGAAAATGTCAAACTGTTGATCGGGTGTAACGCACCGAGCGTGCACGAGATAAAAGAGGTAAGAACTGGGAAGACGAACGAACCGTCTGCTGTGAGAACTCTATTGGGTTGCACGTTGTTTGGTCCCTATGGGGAACTCCATGGAAGCAAACGTGTACTTAATTACCTCTTAGATAAAGAGGAATTAGGGGATAAGTTTGAACAATTGTACTCAACGGAATTCTAGGATTCATTTAGTTGTACTATGTCGATGTCTGTAGAAGATCGTATAGCACTCAGTGCTATATCAAATTCAGTGCAAAGGTTAAATGGGCACTATCAAATAGCTCTAGCTTGGAGGCACGAACGCAAGTCACCTAATAATAAGAAATTAGCAGAACGTAGACTTAGCTGTTTAAAAGGTCGACTTATTCGGGATACGAAGTTGCTCCAAGACTATACGAGCGCTATGACTCAGTATATAGAACGAGATTATGCCGAAAAGGTAAACGATAACCACATTGATGGACGAATTTGGTATCTTCCTCACCACCCTGTCTTTCATCCCAAAAAGCCTAACAAGTTAAGAATAGTTTTTGATTGTGCAGCTCAGTATGCTGGAACGTCTTTAAACAAGAATCTTTATTCTGGACCTGATTTAGTCAATAAACTAGTAGACGTATTTACCAGGTTTCGGCAACGACCGATAGGTCTTACGGCGAACATTGAAGCCATGTTCCATCAAGTAGTAGTTCCGGCACATGATCGAGATGCTCTTAGGTATTTGTGGTGGCCAGGTGGGAACTTAAAAAAGGAGCCAGAGGTCTATAGAATGAAAGTCCATTTGTTCGGAGCAACCTCATCACCATGTTGTGCCACGTTTGCCTTGCAGAAAACAATTTCTGATAATCTAGATAAATTTCCCAGAGTTGTTACACAATTAGCTAAGGAACAGTTCTATGTGGACGATTTATTGATAAGTGTAGATACTACAGAAGAAGCCAAACTGATATATTCACACTTCAAAGGACTTCTGAGTTTGGGAGGATTTAACTTAACTAAATGGACTAGTAATAATATTGAAGTGTTGGAGTTTATTCCAGAGGAAGACCGTATTGAAGGAAACATTACCGTTTGTGAGTCTAATGAGACGAGTAAGCGAACCCTGGGAATCGAGTGGAACGTCAGGACCGACGAATTATGTTTTAAAGTTCATGAGTTCCGTGGAAACCTAACCAGAAGAAACATCTTGTCGTATGTAGCATCTATCTTTCATCCAGTTGGGTTTATAGCCCCAATAATACTGCCAGCCAAAGTGATCCTACAAGATACTTGTCGGCAGAAGTTAGATTGGGACGCAGAGTTACCCATGGATTGTCAAGTGAAGTGGAATATTTGGTGTAAACACATAAAAGAATCGGACTATTTAAGAATGCCAAGATGTCTGAAACCAATGTTTGAACCATCATCTGCTCAAATTCATTGTTTTGCCGATGCTTCTGAGCTTGCGTGTGGTGTTGTTGCGTATATTCGTTATGAAAGTGTTTCTAGTCAGATTCATTGCTCATTTCTGCTAGCTAAGTCTAGAGTTGCTCCCCTAAAACTTGTTACTATGCCTAGAATGGAGTTAACAGCCTGTGTTCTGTGTGCTAAGATTGGCAAGCATGAAAGGGAACAGTTAAATATTCCTATTTCATCGGTCATCTATTGGAGGGGTTCGTTAATTGTGCTTCATTGCATACAAAATACGACTAAACGATTTGAAAGGTTTGTGAGTAATAGATTAGCAACTATACACAAGTTGACCACGCCAAACCAATGGAGATACGTGAAAGGTAAATTAAATCCCGCTGATCACGCGTCACGTGGACTATTACTAAATGATAAAGCTAAGATAAGGGAGTGGTTACAAGGGCCAGGATTGCTGTGGGAGGAAGAAGATAGATGGCCTAACTTAGAAAAGGGGCGAGAACACTTTGGCCCATGTAATAACAGAAGATCTCGGATCTCAAAAATACAATGACGAGTCTCTAGACCGATTTCGCACGTGTAAGTCATGGTCCAGAATATTAAGGGTGTTTTCATACTGCAGACGGTTAATCAACAATATGCTAAACAAGAAGAATGGGAAATATCTAATCTCGGGCACACTAAGTGTTGAAGATATTGGTAAATCGAAGAGCGACATAATTAAACTAGTCCAAAGTGCCGCATTCCCGGTCGAAAAAAGAATTCTAGACAGTTTACCATTAACACTCGAAGACAATGCTTCTAAGCAGCAAGAAAGAATAAACGAGACGATCAAAAGAAAAAAGTTAATTCGTCAAAGCTCGATAAGGAATCTCAACCCTTTTATGTTGGAAGGCAAGATCCGTGTGGGAGGACGTCTGCAATTATCGTGTTTACCCTTTGAAACCAAACATCCGATTATTCTTCCTAATAATCACTTTATCACAGATATGATTATAATGCATCATCATTTGATAACATGCACGTCGGAGTTACTCAAACTTTAAGTGGTATTCGTGAAGAGTATTGGATCGTTAGAGGATACTCTGCCGTCCGAAAGGTCCTAAAACAATGTTATTTATGTAAAAGACTTTACTCTATGCCATGCTCCCAAATAATGGCGCCGTTGCCAGAGTGCAGGCTAGAGACTCATTCGCCTCCCTTTAGCCAAGTAGGTGTGGATTACTTCGAGCCATTCTATACCAAACGGGGGAGAGCCGTTGAGAAACGCTACGGTTGTGTATTCACTTGCTTATCCATTAGAGCCGTTCATATTGAAATGGCTTGCTCTTTAGATACGGATTCATTCTTATGCGCATTATCAAGGTTCATTGCTAGAAGAGGATGCCCGAAGCGTATTTTTAGTGATAATGGTTCTAATTTCCGAGGTGCAGATGCTAGTTTGAGGCAGATTATACGCTCTTGGGACCAAAACAAAATAGAGAATCACCTCAGAGAACGAGAATGTGAATTGCGTTTCAACCCACCTAGGGCAAGTCACCGAGGCGGTGTGTGGGAACGTATCATAAAATCTATTAGAAGATTCTAAGAGCTCTTTTATTTCATAACGTGTTGACAGATGAGGCTTTGCAAACATTCTTAACTGAGGCAGAAAAAATATTAAATAATAGACCACTAGTTAAAGTGACGGATGATCTTGGCACTCTAGAGGCTCTTACACCGAATAAATTGTTGTTGATTTATAAAGGATTGTCATTTGACGATGTTTCTGTGGATAAGACTCCATTATACAATAAAAGATGGAAAGAAGCTCAAAGATTAACTACCGCATTTTGGTATAGGTGGATAAGAGAATATCTACTGACTCTTCAAACAAGAGATAAATGGTTAAACGTACGTAGAAATCTACAACCCGGCGACCTAATTCTCGTGGTTAACGTTGAAACGAGCAGAAGTCTATGACCTAAAGCCATTGTCGAACACGTTAGCTACGGCCCTAATGGACGAGTTCGTACAGCAAGGTTGAGAACGACAAACGAAGAAATCGTTCGGGATGTTCGGAGCTTATGCCTATTGGAAGAAGCCGGTTATCTGACAGCAACGGCGACGACACAGAGCTATCGAACTGGTGCGCGTTTCGGGCGGAGTGTAAAGTGAGATCGATAAGCGAACATACCAATGATGAGTGAAACGCGCACCACCACACTAAATTCTTTGACCTTGTATTACTATGTCTTTGTTTTATCCACCAATCACAATTTATGTTCATTCTAAAACAATCTTCGTTTTGTTGACTCATTTTTCCTATTCTCTAGTTACTGTTCGGTATGTCATTTATGTCTCTCCTTTTCCATATGTAATAGACTGTATTTATTTGAGTATTAACGTTGTTAATTTACGTTTTTAGAAACAGATAAAGTTTATTAAGCCAAATAGCTTACTTGTTTTGACTTTGGCGAAACCAAGATTATGTATTCAACAGTTTAGAGAATAGCTTAAAGTTACCCCTGTAGGAAATTGTTTCCTACAATGACGATTTGGATAATGATGATGATCATGATGACGATTAAGATATAGATGATGATGATTCGGATGACGATGATGATTTGGATGATTTTGATTATTTGCATGATGATGATAATTTGTATCATGATGATGTTGATTATTATTTTGAAGATGACGATGATTTGGACGATGATGATGTTGATTATAATTTTGAAGATGATGATGATGAATTGATTGATGATGATGATTTGGATGATTATGATTATTTAGATAATGATGAGCATTTGTATGATGATGATGTTGATGATAAATTTGATGATGATGATTTGGACGTTGATGATGTTGATTACAATTTTGAAGATGATGATAATTAGGATGATTATGATAATGAAGATGATGATAATTTGGATGATGATGATGATGATGATAATTAGGATGATGATGATAATGATGATGATGATAATTTAGATGATGATGAAATGAATGATGATGATTTGAATTATTATGATTATTTCGATGATGATGATGATATGGATAATGATGATGATGTTGATGATTTATATGAAGATGACGTTTTGGTTGATGATTTGGATGATGAAGATGTTGAAGATTAAGATGAAGATGATGATAATGATGTGGATGATGATGATGATGATTCGGATGATTATGATTATATGGATGATGATGTTTATCAAGATGATTATGATGATGGAGATGATGACAAAGATGAGAATGATGTGGATGAAGTTGATGATAATTTGAATAATGAAGATGATGATGAAAATGATGATGAAGATGATGATGATGTGGATGATGAGGGTGATGATTTGGATGATGATGACGATTTGAATGATGATGATGATAATTAGGATGATGATGATGATAATGATGATGATGATGATGATGATGATGATGATGATGATGATGATTTGGATGATGATTTGGATGATGATGATGATGATTTGAACGATGATGATGATGATTTGGATGATGATGATGATGAATAGGATGTTGATGGTATTGATGATGATGATGATGATGGTTTGGATGACGAAAATTTGTATGATTATGATTATTTGTATGAAGATGATGATGTTGATGATTTAGACGAAGAATATGATGCGGATGATGATGATGAAGATGATAATGATGTGGATGATGAGGGTGATGATTTGGATGGTTATGATTATTTGGATGATGATGATTACGATGATGATGATGATGATGAAGATGATGATGATGTGGATGATGATGATGAGGATGAGGATGATTATGATGGCGATGTCGATTTGCATGATGATTATTTGGATGATGATGATGTTGATGATACTTGCAAGAAGATCATGATGACGTATTGGACGATGATGATGATGATGATGGTGATTTGGATGATGATGATGATGATCATGATGATTTGGATGATGATCATGATGAATATGATGAAGATGATGATGTGGATGTAGTTGAATATTATTTGGATGATGATGATGATTATTTTAATGATGATGATGATGATGTGGATTATGATGATGAAGATGATGGTGATGTGGATGATGAGGGTGATGATTTATATGATTATGATTATTTGTATGATGATGATGATGTTGATGATTTAGAAGAAGATTATGATTTCGATGATGATGATGATGATAATGAAGATGATGATGGTGATGATGGAGATGATGACGAAGATGAGGATGATGTGGATGATGTAGATGATAATTTGAATGATGACGATGATGATGCAGATAATGATGTTGTGGATGATGGGGTGATGATTTGGATGGTTGTGATAATTTTGATGATGATGATGATTTGGATTATAATGATGTTGATGATCATTTGGATGACGATGATGAAGTTGATGATGATGATGATTTAGATGAAGAAGATGATGACGATGAGGTTGATAATGATGATGATGATGATGATGATGATGGTGTTGATGATGCGGATGATGATCATGATGATGGTGATGATGATGATGATGATAATTAGGCCGATGATGATTATAATGGTGATGATGATAATTTGGATGATGATGATGTTGATGTTGATTTGGATGATGATGATGATGATGATGTGAATGTTGATGATTTAGATGAAAATGACGATAATGTGGATGATGATGATGTTGATGATAATTTGGATGATGATTATGATTATTTGGATAATGATGATGATGATTTGGATGATGATTATGATGAAGTGAATGATGATGATTTGTAAGATTATGATTATTTGGATGATGATGATGATGATGATGAAAAAATTGATGATGTTGATGATAATTTGGATGAAGATGATGATTTGGATGACGATGAATCGGATGATTATGTATTTTTGGATGATGATGATGATGATGATGATGATAAACATAATGATGATGATGGAGATGATGACGAAGATTAGGATGATGTTGATGATAATTTAAATGATGACGATGATGATGAATATGGTGGTGATGAGGTGGTGAGGGTTATGATTCGGATGATTATGATTTTGTATGGATGATGATGATTATGATGATGTGGAAGATGATGATGATGTTGATGATGATGATGATTTGGATGATGATGATGAATATGATGAAGAAGATGATGATGATGTTGACGATGTTGATTTGAATGATGATGATGTTGATGTCAATTTGGATGATGACGATGATTTCGATGATGATTATGACGAAGATGATCATGAAGATGACGATGATGTGAATGATGATAATTTGGAATATGGGTGATGATTTGGATGATGATGATGTTGATAATGATTTGGATGACGATGATAAAAATGAAGATGACGATCATTTAGATGAAGTTGATGATGATGATAATGATGATGATGCTGATGTTGATGATGGTTTAGATAATAATGATGAAGTTGATGATAATCATCATGATGATGATAATTTTGATGATGATGTTGATGTTGATTTGGATGATGATGATGATGTGGATGATGATGATGATTTAGATGAAGATGATGATGATATGGATGATGATGATGTTAATGATAATTTGGATAATAATGATGATGACGATTTGGATGATGATGATGATGATGATGATGATGTGTATGATGATGATGATGATGATGATGATGATGATGATGATGATGAAGATGATGATGATGACGGTGTTGATTTGGATGATGATGATTTGGATGACGATGATGTTGATGATAATGTGGATGATGATGATGATGATTTGGATGATGATGATGTTGATTATAATTTTGAAGATAACAATGATGATTTGAATGATGATGATGATGAAGATAATGATGATGTGAATGATGTTGATGATAATTGAATGATGACGATGATTATTTGAATGATGAAGATGATGAAGATGTGCATGACGATGACGTGGATGATGATGATTCGAATGATTATGATTATTTGAATGATGACGATGATGATGAAGATGATGATGATGTGGATGTTGATGATGATGATGATGATGATGATGATGACGGTGTTGATTTGGATGATGATGATTCGGATGACGATGATGTTGATGATAATGTGGATGATGATGATGATGATTTGGATGATGATGATGTTGATTATAATTTTGAAGATAACAATGATGATTTGAATGATGATGATGAAGGTAATGATGATGTGGATGATGTTGATGATAATTTGGATGATGATGATGATTATTTGAATGATGAAGATGATGATGTGCATGAAGATGATATGGATGATGATGATTCGAATGATTATGATTATTTGAATGATGACGATGATGATGAAGATGATGTTGATGTGGATGATAATTTGAATGATGACGATGATAATGAAGATGATGATGAAGATGATGGTGATGTGGATGATGAGGGTGATGATATGTAGGATTATGATCATTTAGATGATGATGATGTTGACGATGTGGACAATGATGATGATGTTGATGATGATGATGCTGATGATGATTTGGATGATGATGATGAATATGATGAAGATGATGATGATGATTACGATGTTGATGATGATGATGATTTGGATGAGGATGATGATTTGGATGATGTTGATAAAAAATGGATGATGATGACGAAAATGATTTGGATAACGATTATGATGATTCGGATGATGATGATTTGGATGATGATGATGAATGGATGATGATGATGATGATGATTGAAGATGATGATGATGATAATTTGGATGATTATGATTTGGATGATGCTGCTGCTGATGATGATGATGATAATTAGGATGATGATGATGTTGATGTTAATTTCGATGATGTTGATGATTTAGGTTATGATGATAATGATGATGATGATGATGATGATGATGACGTGGATGATCATGGTGTTGATGATAATTTGGATGATGATTATGATTATTTGGATAATGATGATGATTTGGATGATGATGATGACGATGTTGTGGATGATGATGATGATTCGTATGATTATGATTATTTGGATGATGACAAATAAAATGATGATGATGTAGATGATGACGAAGATGAGGATGATGTTGATGATAATTTGAATGATGACGATGATGATGAAGATGATGATGAAGATGATGGTAATGTGGATGATGAGGGTGATGATTTGAATGATGATGATGATGATGATGTGGGCGATGATGATGAAGATAATGATGATGATTATTTAGATGATGAAGATAAAGATGATGATGATGTTTATAATGATGAAGATGATTTGGATGATGATGATGGTGTGAAAGATGATGATGTGAATGATGATGATGAAATGATTATTTTTGATGATGATAATGTTGATGATAAATTGAATGATATTGATGAAGATGATGATGAAAGTGAAGATGATGTGGATGATGATGATGATGATGATGATGATGATGTTGATGATAATGAATATTAAGATGATGATGATGATTTAGATGATGATGAAGTTATTTTGGATGATGATGATGATTTCAATGATAATTATGATGAAGATGATGATGATGCTTTGGCTGATGATGATGACGATGATGATGATTTTGATGATGATGATGTTGATGATGATTTGGATAATGATTATCATGCGTATGATTATGATTATTTGGATGATGATGATGATGATTTGGATGATTATGATTATTTGAATGATGATAATATGGATGATGATGATTATGATGATGTGGATGATGATGTTTTGGATGATGATGAACAATATGTTTTGGATAACGTTGATGACGATTTGGATGATGAAGATGATGATGATGATGTGGATGATGATGATGACTTGAATAATTATGTTTATTTGGATGATGATGATGATGATGATTTGGATAACAATAATGAAGTTGATGATCATCATCATGATGATGGTTATGATTGCTAGGATGATGATGATGATGTTTATGATGATGTTGTTGATGATGATGTGGATGATGATGTTGATGATGATGAATATGATTATAATTGTTTGTATGATGATGATGAAGATGTTGTTGATAATTTGGATGATGATGATTTAGATGATGATGATGATGATAAAAATGATGATCATGTGGATAATGATGTGAAAGATGATGATGTGTATGCTGATGATGAAATGAAAATGATGTGGATGATGATGTTGTTGATGATGATGTTGATGATGATGTCGATGATGATGAAGATGACTATGATTCTGATTGTTTGCATGATGATGATTACTTGTATGATGATAATGTTGATGATAAATTGGATGATGTTGATGAAGATGTTATTGAACGTAACGATTATGTGGATGATGATATTTTGGATAATGGTGTTGATTTGGTTGATGATGATGTTGATGATGATTCAGATGACAATGATGATGATGATGATTTAGATGAAGATGATGATGATGTTGATGATGATGATGATTATGACGATGATGATGTTGTTGATGATGCGGATGATGATCATGATGATGGTGATGATTATGTTTATTTGGATGTTGATGATAATTTGGATGATGATGATGATGATGTTGATGATGATTAGAATTATAATGATGAAGTTGATGATGATCATGATGATGATGATTATGATTATTGGGATGATGATGATGATGATTTGGATGATGATGATGTTGATGATGATTGGGATAATAATAATGATGTTGATGATGATCATGATGATGATGATTATGAATAATGGGATGATGATGATGTTTTGGATGATGAAGATTATGATGATGTTGATGATGAAGATGATGATGATGTTGATGATGAAGGTGATGATGATGTGGATGATGATGATGAAGATGATGATGATGTGCACGATGATGTGAAAGATGATGATGTGGATGATGATGATGAAACGATGATGATGTGGATGATGATGTTGTTCATGATGATGTGCATGATGATGTTGATGTTGATGATGATGCTGACGATGATGTGGATGATGATCATGATGATGATTTTGATGTTGATGATGTTGATGTTAACTTGGATGATGATGATGATTTCGATGATGATTATGATGAATATGATAATGATGATTTGGATGATGATGATGACGACGATGTTTATTTGGATGATGAAGATGATGATGTTGATTTGGATGATGATGATTATGATGAAGATGATGATGATGTGGATGATGATGTTGATTTGGATGATGATGATCAATATGATTTGGATAATGTTGATGACGATTTGGTTGATATTGATGATGATGATGATGATGTGGATGATGATGATGATTTGGATGATGTTGATAATAAATAGATGATGATGACGAAGATGATTAGGGTAATGATGATGATTATTTGGATGATGATGATGATGTGGATGATGATGATGATTTGGATGATTATGATTATTTGTATGATGATAATGATTAAGATGATGATGATGATAATATTGATGATGATTTGGATAATAATAATGAAGTTGATGATGATTATAATGATGATGGTTATGATTTCTAGGATGATGATGATTTGGATGATGAAGATGTTGATGATAATTTGGATAATGAAGATGATGATGATGTTGATGATGAAGATGATGATGATGTTGATGATGTAGATGATGATGATGTGGATGATGAGGATGATGATGTTGATGATGTAGATGATGATGATGTGGATGATGATGATGATGATTTGCATGATGATGTGAAAGATGATGATGTGGATGATGTTGATGAAATGATAATGATGTGGATGATGATGTTGTTGATGATGATGTGGATGATGATGTTGATGATAAATTGGATGATGTTGATAGAAATGTTATTGAAGGTGACGATGATGTCGATGATGATCATGATGATCATGATGATGGTGATGATAATGAATATTTAAATGATGATGATGATAAATTGGATGATGTTGATGAAGATGTTGTTGAAGGTGAAGATGATGTGGATGATGATGATGTTGATGAAAATGAATAATAAGATGATGATGGTGATTTGGATGATGATGATGTTGATGTTAATTTGGATGATGATGATGATTTCGATGACGATTATGATGAAGATGATGATGATGATTTGGATGATGATGATGACGATGATTATGATTTTGATGACGATGATGTTGATGATGATTTGGATGATCATGATCATTCGGATGACTATGATTATTCGGATGATGATGATGATGATTTGGATGATTAAGACTATTTTGATAATGATGATTTGGATGATCATGATGAGGATGTTGATATGGATGATGATGCTTATGATGAAGATGATGATGATGTGGATAATGATGATGATTTGGATGATGATGATCAAGATGATTTGGATAATGTTGATGATGTTTTGGATGATGATGATGAATTGGATGATGATGATTCCGTTGATGTTGATGTTTTTGGAAATTTAGATGATGATGATGATGATTTTGATGATCATGATGATTTGAATAATGTTGATGATATTTTGGATGATGATGATGATGATTTGTATGATGATGTTGATGTTGATGTTGTTGGTGATGATGATATCGATGATGATGAAGATGATTATAATTGTTTGTATGATGATGATTTGGATGATGATAATGTTGATGATAAATTGGATGATGTTGATGAAGATGTTGTTGAAGGTGACGATGATGTTGATGATGATCATGATGATCATGATGATAGTTATGATAAAGAATATTTAAATGATGATGATGATTTGGATGATGATGATGTTGATGTTAATTTGGATGATGATGATGATGATTTCGATGACGATTATGATGAAGATGATGATGATGATGTGGATGATGATGTTGATGTTGATGATGATGTGGATGATGATGTTGTTGATGATGATGTGGATGATGATGTTGATGTTGATGATGATGGTGATGATGATGTCGATGATGATGAAGATGATTAGAATTGTTTGTATGATGATGATGATTTGGATGATGTTGTGGATGATGATGATGTTGGTGATGATAATGAATATTTAGATGATGATGATGATCTAAATGATGATGATGTTGATGTTAATTTGGATGATGATGATGATTTCGATGACGATTACGATGAAGATGATGATGATGATTTGGATGATGATGATGACGATGATTATGATTTGGATGATGATGATGTTGATGATGATTTGGATGATGATGATCATTCGAATGATTATGATTATTTGGATGATGATGATGAGGATGATTAAGATTATTTGGATAATGATGATTTGGATGATGATGATGATGATGATTAGGATGATGATGATGATGAAGATGATGATGACGTAGATGATCATGATGATTTGCAAGATTACGATGATTTGTATAATGATCATTTGTATACTCATGATGTTGATGATGATTTGTATGATGATGATGATGATTGGGATGATTATGATGATTTGTATGATTATGATTTGTATGATGATGATGATGATTTGTATGATGATGATGATGATGATGATGATGATTTGTATGATGATGATGATGATGATGATGATGATTTGTATGATGATGGTGATGATGATTGGGATGATTATGATGATTTGTATAATTATGATTTGTTTGATGATGATGTTGATGATAATTTGTATGTTGTTGATGTCAATTTGGATGATGATGATGATTTCGATGATGATTATGATGAAGATGATGATGATGATTTGGATGATGATGATTTGAATGATTATGATGATTTGGATGATTAAGATTTGTATGATGATGATGTTGATGATAATTTTGATTATGATGAATATTTGGAGGATAATGATGATTTCGATGATGATGATGATTTGGATGATGATGATGATGATAATGTGGATGATGATGATGTTGATTTGGATGATGATGATTATGAAGAAGATGATGTTGATGTTGATGATGATATTGATTTAGATGTTGATGATGATTTCGATGATGATGATGATGTGGATGATGATGAAGATTTGGATGATAATGATTATTCGGATGATGATGATGCTGATGATTCGGATAATGATGATGTTGATGATGATTTGGATCATGCTGATGATGATGATGATGTCGTAGATGATCATGATGATTTGAATGATTATGATGATTTGGATGATTAAGATTTGTATGATGATGATGTTGATGATAATTTTGATTATGATGAATATTTGGAGGATAATGATGATTTCGATGATGATGATGATTTGGATGATGATGATGATGATAATGTGGATGATGATGATGATGATGATGATTTGGATGATGATGATGATGTTGATTTGGATGATGATGATTATGAAGAAGATGATGTTGATGTTGATGATGATATTGATTTAGATGATGATGATGGTTTCGATGATGATGATGATGTGGATGATGATGAAGATTTGGATGATAATGATTATTTGGATGATGATGATGCTGATGATTCGGATAATGTTGATATTGATGATGATTTGGATCAAGCTCATGATGATGATGATAACGTAGATGATCATGATGATTTAAATGATTTTGATAATTTGGATGATTATGATTTGTATGATGATGATAATGATTCGTATGATGATGATGATGATGATTTGGATGATTATGATGATGATTTGGATGATGATGATGATTTGAATGATTATGATGATTTGGATGATTGTGATTTGTATGATGATGATGTTGATGATAATTTTGATTATGATGAATATTTGGATGATAATGATGATTTCGATGATGATGATGATTTGGATGATGATGATGATGATGATAATGTGGATGATGATGATGATGTTGATTTGGATGATGATGATGATGATTTGGATGATGATGATGATGATGAAGATGATGATGATGATTTGGATGATGATGATGACGATGATGATGATGATTTGGATGATGATGATTTGAATGATTATGATGATTTGGATGATTAAGATTTGTATGATGATGATGTTGATGATAATTTTGATTATGATGAATATTTGGAGGATAATGATGATTTCGATGATGATTTGGATGATGATGATGATGATGATGATGATGATGATGATGATGATGATAATGTGGATGATGATGATGATGATAATGTGGATGATGATGTTGATTTGGATGATGATGATGATGATGTGGTTGATGATAATGATTTGAATGATGACTGAATGATTATGATTGGGATGATGATGACGATTATGATTTGAATGATGTTGATAAAATTTTGGATGACGATGATGATTTCGATGATGATGATGATGATGAAGATTATGATGATGATAATGATGATGATGTGGATGATGATTATGATTTCGGTGATTATGATTGTTTGGATGATGATGATGATTTGGCTTATGATGATGTTGACGATGATTTGGATCATGCTGATGATGATGATGATGTAGATGAGCATGATAATTTGGTTGATTATGATGATTTGTATGATGATGATAATGTTGATAATTTGGATGATGATGATGATTTGGATGATGATGATGGAGCAGCATACTTTTCCATAGTAATTAACATTGGTAATTATACCATTTTGTTTGATTTCGTCACATTAGTTTATTTTCATAGGTAATATCTACTGTATACTTTCTATAGACAATTTGTCATAAACATTATTTACAGAAGTGGTTCGGTGGAGATTTCAGTCTGTTGGGAGATATCAACTCACTGAAGACAATTGTTAATGGTTGCTCAATTTCGTGTATCGTTTGAAGTTAGACATTAACATGTTTGGATACCGGCTCAGTGATCTATCGGTTAAGTGCTGTGGAGCGAGAGTGGTAGGTCCTGCGTTCTAATCTCGAGAGGCGGGATCGTGGATGCACACTGCTGAGGAGTCCCACAATAGGACAAGACGGTCGTCCAGTGCTTCCAGGTTTTCCATGGTAGTGTAGCTTCAATTGTCTCATGATCTCAACTCTATAAACATTATTTTCTGTTTTCTACTTTACACTTACACCTTACCTATTGGTTCATTTCACTAATTGACATGCATAGAACCATATTAGTCTAATAAAGAAACTTTATTATTTACAAATTCTTTCAATTATATCAGTTTGTTATTGACTATAGTATGGTGTCAGTTACTATGTTAAGCTCACCTAACTTCTTTTGGCTTCCAGACAAGCCAATTTATTCATTCTTCGCTAAAACACAATTTGACATTGTCAATTATTCTCTTATCAACCTTGACCGTTTCTTATATCACCATATATATATGTGTCTTTGCACTTCTTATCCTAACCATCACATATCTGACTGTAAATATCGATTCACATATGATTAAATCGAGATGGTTCACATACCTTCTTCACTAAGTGCCATCTCACTTCATTCTCTTCACGTGGCTTTCTACGCTTCATTTCTTCAATCGTTTTCTGTATCAACGATTGTATGAAATACACGTATACGAACTTCATTCTCGTATTTGACTTATTTCATTCCTTTATTCACTGATATGAGTTCAGTCGATAATTATATGCGACGATTGGTGACATGTATATTCCGATAACAATCATACATACGATCTAAGTAGATACAGATATCGGGCCACTAATGTGATGAGATCGTCGATAACATCGTCCGATCTGATGGGCGTCAAAATGAAGGACCTCACCAACGTATCAATAAAATATCGACTTAATTAACAAACCAAGACTGTTGGATGTTTCTACTCTGACAATAGGGTAGTCACACTCTTATCGATTGCCAGAAGTAATAGACCTAACTGACTACTTCGTGTAGAAATAAGCTTCCATGTTCAATCTGTTCCTTTATGATTGCCTGATGTGAGTGTACATCAGTGTCTGTGTGTGTGGAAACAACACCACAAATTGAATCTACCTGAGCTGCATATCTACTCAATCACATTACTACTTCATGAAACCTGAGAGTATAATATCGTGCGAAACGTGCTTGGTTTCATTCATTCTCATTAGTCCATATGCAAGATGAAATGGTGGTGACGAGTAGATCAACCGAATTGAAGTTTAGGCACGGAACATTGAAGTGTAGACGTCAAAAATAATCCATGTCGAAAAGGAATAATGAAATAATTTTATTCCTATATTGACTTACTAGATATTGTAGACTGCCATCAGTATGTAACATACAACAAATGATTTCCACAATGAAACAGATTTCGGTCGACATATAAATGCTTCGAGTAAAGTCACAACTGCTGGAATGATATGCTGTTGTTTAGAAGATTAAATAATAATGTATATATTAATGATTGGATTGAATATACTACTTAGAACAATAAGGGCATTGATACTAAGTATAGTTTAGACCGAGATTTCAATAAGACTGTCAATTTCGATTAGATGAATGATGGACTATTAGTGATTAAGTTAGCTCTTGTTTTAGTACTCATGAATCGAGTATTTGTTCATAAATATTCTCAATTGTTCCAACTGCAAAAAAACACTACATCGGACGAAAGCGGACAACCTATTCATCTTCGTCTTCATGAACATCAATCAGCGATCAAACTCCATGACATATCTTTGATTATATCAATGCTTGTGAACAACTATGGATACACATTCAACTGAAAAAATGTTGAGATTTTGTATAGAGGCAATTCTAAAAACAACCAGAGAATTTTTAGAAACTTGGCACTAAAGTCAATCAACAATCGGTTAAGTGCTATGGCGCGAAACTGGTAGGTCCTGGTCCTGGTCCGGCCGTCAAGCAGTGCTACCAGGTTTTCCATGATGGTCTAGCTTCAATTGACTCATCATTTCAACTATGACAATCAACAAATAACAAACACATTGAAATATATCCATTTTATCGACCGATAACAATCAAGTCAATGGGAGATACAATCAAAATAAAGATGAAGGCAATGATAGGTTAAAGGTCAACAATAACCAATGACGATCAAGGTCTACAGGACAAGCTGTGAATCATTTACGGAGAAATGCGAACATTTCACTTCTACCTGCGGTTTATACTGATGCTGTCGTTCAGAATAACAATGTTAGCTCCACAATCAAAACATACAACTCAGAGAACAAAACTCCACCAACATCAATTATTTAATCGACAATTCGTTTAACTTTGTGGCTTATGTTACACGAGTGCGAATGTCTGTTAACATTGTAATAATGAATATTTGATAAACCATTCCTGTCCCATAAATCTTTAAACATCTCAAGTGATCAACAGTGGATATTACATTGACATTATCTGATGTCGATTTGATACTTTAATTCGAAACTGAAGCTTCATTCGTCCAACCTCCATTAGTTGAATGGATTTGTGGTTTAAGAAATGTTCAATGTTTCAAACATTTCATTGAATGGTTTTATAGAGTGACTGCTTATCAATAAGAATATATGTACCATTAAGCAAAGATGGATAGTGGCTAGCAGTGGAATCCAGTTTGACGCGCGTTTCATTCTATTTGGGACTCATCAGTTGGATGTACCTACATCTCAGACTCGTTTGATGTTCACTCTGAGACTGACCAATTGCAGTCGTAAAACATCAATGGGAAGACTCAACTAAACAATACTAAGTGAATACGTAGCAATATGTATGTATACTTGCACTTATATTACAAATATATCAATAATAACACATTCATTTCAAGCTTACACATGTATGATTGAACCATAATGGCATATTCTTCAATTCTGGATTCTCGGTAGCCACAGTATGATCAACAATGAGTACAATGAAATACATCACAAGTATCGTCTATTGTTTTCAAATGAATAAAAAACATATGAACAACAAGGAATTGAATCACTTACCGAAGCATAAGTAGATGAAAGTACATAGAAATAACTATGTATTGTATATTGTTTACACATTAGGAGTAATGTGGAATTGACGAAATAGACTTGTATCATGGTCTATATTGTGAATAAGATGGAGGTGGGTAGGGGGGAGGGTAGGGTAAGGGAGAAAAGTAACAAATATTATGTAAGATAAACTTACCATTGTAATAAATGTGAGATATTTGAATAGTACCAACAAATTCATAATGTTGAATGATTCATCTGGATAAAGGTATTTATAGCCAACAACTGTGATGGTTATGAATATTCCCATCACAATAATATGATAGATGGCACCAATGATTCGTCTTAGATCAGTTTTCTGTAGCATTTTTGATAGAGGATAGTAAGATGTTAATTGATTCACTTCAAATGTTTACTCTGCTATAATTCAGTATATATATATACCTAAATGCTAAGAAACTATAATTCATATTTTGAATGAACTATAATAATTAAGTCAGAGGTACATATTTTACTCATATCATAGTTGACCCTTAATTAAAGGGTACACAATGATATACTCACATTTTTTCAGCGGTTTCTATTCTAAGTAGTTTATTTATATGCTTAATGCTATTACTAGCTTACCTTACTTGGTAAACCGGCCTATGCTCCATTGGTAGTAACAGGCGTAAGTAAATAATTAAGTAAGTTACTTGATAAACAGAACGAAAGTCAAAGACATAATGACAGGATAAACTATTCGAATCCGTTGTCTCCGACCCTACTAAAGAGATCAAGAAGTCTTGATGAAGCATGGGGGTATGTATTCTACAAGCACTCAGAAAATACGAAGTCATTAAGCATACAAATCAAACTTACTTATACAATGATAGAAACGTCCTTGGGAAAGCCACAAAATAGTATTTTTATATTTAGAACCTTGATTTCTTACTACGCCTCGTACTACAGACTACTTGAACGATAGAACGTGCAACGTCGCAATAGAGAAAACAGAGGACTAGTAAGTAGGAACTTTTATTCCCTAAAACAGTGTCAAAATATAGTACAGAAATCTCGTGTATTTATAGTTTTTGACTGAAAGTATATCATCATTTCAGACAACCAATAGGCAAATAGGGGTTATCCTCATCCATCCAATGGGGAAGCTACACGTCGACATTCTAGAATATTCC